AGAAAATAGTAAAAATAAAGAAAAACCCTGGAATGAGTAGGTGTCAACTTTTGACTGGTACTGTATTATTATTATTATTATTATTATTATTATTATTAGACATGAGACTAAAAACGCCAGGAAATCAGCTCCAAGTGATTTTAATTTAGGAAATCTGTTCCAAGTATTCCCACGCATAACAGAAAGACACGTGATCTTACACAAATGTAAGCAAGGTTTTAAATTATATTTTAGTCAAATATTATATCTGTTTGGGCTTCTTGCGGTCAATTTGCAGTCTACAAGTTATTTGTAATTATGTTCCGGCCCACCGACCATCTGCTCAAGACAAAAATTATAATAATCAGCCCACGGCTGAATCTAGTTGATGATCCCTGCTCGGTCTTAATTTATCTTTATTTAACCAGATACAGTGCAGTCTGCTTACAGTGTATTTGGTTATAGTGATCAAATTGTCCAGCATGGACGTGATCACGATAAGAGGAGAGCACTATAATTCAATGAGGACGACGTTCTCTGTTACAAATGCAGGCTGACACTTACCCACGGTGGCTCGGATGAGGGGTGAGGAGTCTCCGATGTTCTGCAGACACTCGCTCTTGATGAAGTCAGACACTCCATTGGGGAAGTTCTGGTAGTGGGCCTTCACATTGTTCTTCAGAATCAGACCACTCAGAGACCGGGTCGGCTCATCTGGAGAGAAGGGGAGGTGGGGGGCAGTCGATTTAGTGGTAAATTCCATTTTCTATTAAGTCAATGTATGATTAGTCGATCAGCCGAAATGCATAAATTGAATTAGGACTAAACATCCGATGAAGATTTTCCCCAATTAACACAGAATTCTAATTTGTCTCCAACACTTTGTTTTAATAGAATTAATGCAACTTGGCCTAACTTCTACATGATGCATTTGATTGCCATCTAAAAACACTAAACAAACATATAAAACGCAACCTGTAAAGTGTTGGTCCCATGTTTCATAAGCTAAAATAAAAACATCCCAGAAATATTCCATATGCACAAAAAGCTTATTTCTCTCAAATTGCTCACAAATTTGTTTACATCCCTGTTAATGAGCATTTCTCCTTTGCCAAGATAATCCATCCACCTGACAGTTGTGGCATATTAAGAAGCTGATTAAACAGCATGATCATTACACAGGTGCAGCTTGTGCTGGGGACAATAAAAGGCCACTCTAAAATGTGTAGTTTTGTCACAACACAATGCCAAAGATGTCTCAAGTTGAGGGAGCGTGCAATTGGAATGCTGACTGCAGGATTGTCCACCAGAGCGGTTGCCAAATAATTGAATGTTCATTTCTCCACAATAAGCAGACTCCAAAGTCGTTTCAGAGAATTTGGCAGTACGTCCAACCGGCCTCACAACCGCAGACCACAGGTAACCACGCCAGCCCAGTACCTACACATCCGGCTTATTCACCTGCGGGATCGTCGGAGACCAGCCACCCAGACAGTTGATGAAACTGTGGGTTTGCACAACCAAATAATTTCTGCACAAACTGTCAGAAACCGTCTCAGGGAAGCTCATCTGCGTCGTCCTCACCAGGGTCTTGACCTGACTGCAGTTCGCTATCGTAACAGACTTCAGTGGGAAAATGCTCACCGTCGATGGCCACTGGCACACTGGAGAAGTGTGCTCTTCACGGATGAATCCCGGTTTCAACTGTATCGGGCAGATGGCAGTGTGTTCCAGTTCCCGCCAATATCCAGCAACTTCGCACAGCCATTGAAGAGGAGTGGGACAACATTCCACAGGCCACAATCAACACCCTGATCAACTCTATGCGAAGGAGATGTGTTACGCTTTATAAAAGGCAAATGGTGGTCACACCAGATACGGACTGGTTTTCTGATCCAAGCACCTACCTTTTTTTTAAGGTATCCATGACCAACAGATGCATATCTGTATTCCCAGTCATGTGAAATCCAGAGATTATGGTGTAATGAATTGATTTCAATTGAATGATTTCCTTATATGAACTGTAACTCCGTAAAATCTTTGAAATTATTGCATGTTGCATTTATATTTGTTCATTGTAGAATGGAGTTTGAATACACTATTTAGTACACTACAGACAAACAGGTTAAACAACTAAAAGTGAGAAGGGGGTTGCTGTATAGCAATGTCTCACACTACTAGAAAACCAAAACATACACAAACAAAATTCCATACCCTCTCTACACAGTACATGGGGCACTCAACCAGCTACACCAAAATAAGGGAAGCCTGTAGCTAGATTCCTGTGTATGCTGAAGAAAACAAACAGTGTGACCTCATAGCAGAAGGCTGAGAAGGCATTAGAAAAGCTGGATAGCAACAGCAAATCAGCCAATGGCAAATCATTGCTTTCACTGGCTTCTCAAAGTTAATTTTCTTTGACTCATTCCCCGAACACAACATTGCAATGCTCTGCTTGCTGTAGCATAAAAACTAGACCTACAATCATAGTCATAGCCTCAGTCATTGTTTATGTTTTATCAAAGGTCTTTTCAGCATAATGAGTGTGTTAGGTAGCAAGGAACAGTTTCCCTTAATACTAATGAATGGGCAATACCCAGTGGTATTTTACTGTCTGATAATTCTCCTTCAAATTTCATTACCGCTGCTTCTCTCGACCCAGAGCAGTGTAACAAATGCCATCCTCAAAAGGCAATGGCTCATCATCAGCCTAAACCGTTGGGTCATTTATTCTCCTGTACACAAACAGGTTGTCAGGCAGGTCAGGAGTTGAGTGGTGCCCGGCCGGGCATTAGGTTTAAAATTTGAGTGACCGATATTCTAGTGGTGTGGTGCCACATCAGTGACAGCACATTTTATTTGATTTATTAGGATCCCCATTAGCCAACGCCAATGGCGACTGTGAGTCTTACTGGGGTCTGACAGAACTAAAAAGACATTACAGACAAAATACTTTATATACATTTAAAAACATTAACATGTAGTGTGTTAGCGTGCGCGCACCTATCAGTTACACATACACTGAACAAAAATATCAAACGCAACACGTAAAGTGTTGGTCCCATTTTCCATGAGCTGAAATAAAATATCACTGACATTTTCCATACGCACAAAAAGCTTATTTCTCTCTAATTTTGTGCACAAATTTGTTTACATCCCTGTTAGTGAGCATATCTCATTTGCCAAGATAATCCATCCACCTGACAGGTGTGGCATATCAAGAAGCTGATTAAACAGCATGATCATTACACAGGTGCATCTTGTGCTGGGGACAATAAAAGGCAGTTTTGTCACACAACACAATGCCACAGCTGTCTCAAGTTGAGGGAGCGTGCAATTGGCATGCTGACTGCTGGAATGTTCAACAGAACTGTTGCCAGAGAATTGAATGTTCATTTCACGACCATAAGCTGCCGCCATAGTCATGTTAGAGAATTTGGCAGTAAGTCCAACCAGCCTCACAACCGCCGACCACGTGTAACCACGCCAGCCCAGGACCTCCACATCCGGCTTATTCACCTGCGGGATTGCCTGAGGAAGGGGAGGGGGGGTGCTGAGGAGTATTTCTGTCTGAAATAAAGCCCTTTTGTGCAGAAAAACTCATTCTGATTGGCTGGGCCTGGCTCCCCAGTGGGTGGACCTGGCTCCCAATTGGGTGGGCCTATTCCCTCCCAAGCCCACCCATGGCTGCACCCCTGCCCAGTCATGTGAAATCCATAGATTAGGGCATTATTTATTTCATTTGACTGATTTCCTTCTATGAACTGTAACTCAGTAAAATCTTTGAAATTGTTGCATGTTACGTTTATATTTTTGTTTAGTATACATGTCAGTACATACACACAACAAGTAGGTCACATGGGGGAGAGGTGTTGTGCTGTGAGGTGTTGCTTTATTTATTTGTTTGAAACCAGGTTTGCTGTTCACCTGCACTATATAAGATGGAAGGGAGTTCCATGCACTCATCGCTCTATATAATACTGTACGTTTCGTTGAATTTGTTCTGGACCTGGGGACTGTGAAAAGACCCCTGGTGGCATGTCTGGTGGGGTAAGTGTGTGTGTGTCAGTGTTGTAAGTTGACTATGCAAACAATTTGGAATTTCCAACACATTAATGTTTCTTATAAAACAAGTGACGCAGTCAGTCTTTCCTCAACTCTTCGCCAAGAGTGACTGGCATGCATAGTATTAATATTAGCCCTCTGATTACAATGAAGATCAAGATGTGCCGCTCTGTTCTGGGCCAGCTGCAGCTTAACTAGGTCCTTCTTTGCAGCACTTTACCATATGACTGGACAATAATCAAGATAAAACTAGAGCCTGCAGGACTTGCTTTGTGGAGTGTGGTGTCAAAAAAGCACAGCATCTCTTTATTACAGACAGACCTCTCCCCATCTTTAAAACCATTGAATCTATATGTTTTTACCGTAACAGTTCACAATCTAAGGTAACACCAAGTAATTAGTCTCAACTTGTTCAACAGCCACACCATTCATTACCAGATTCATCTGAGGTGTAGAACATAGGGAATGATTTGTACCAAATACAATGCTCTTAGTTTCAGAGGTGTTCAGGACCAGTTTATTCCTGGCCACCCATTCCTAAACAGACTGCAACTCTTTGTTAAGGGTTTCAGTGACTTCATTAGCTGTGGTTGCTGATGCTTATATATGGTTGAATCAGCATATATGGACACACATGCTTTGTTTAATGCCAGTGGCAGGTCATAAAGACAGACACCGGCCGCGGGGTTCTCCGCCAGGGTTCTCCACTCCTAGAACAGACAGACGTGTCGCTCCCGTCACTAGACTAGGCGGTCAGAACTTTGTCCCCAGGCTAATTTGCTAGCAGAGAGAGAGAGAGCTGGATAGTGGGCGAGATAAGCCTGTGTGTGACTGCCAGCGACCATACTGTAGCCTTCAGTAGTCTTTGTGCCAATACGCAGTAAAGCGAAACAAGCTACAGGATGTTGGCGTAAATATGAGATGGAGAATGAGGGTGGCGGGGTAAATACCTTACCTTCTGATTTCAACTTTGTCAGCACGAATATTAAGTAGTTGTTGAAGTCTGGGTATTGGTTGAGGTGTTCCAGTCTCTTTAGAGTATATTGTTAAGGAAAGGACAGAGCCCACATTGGGTGCACAACCATAGGGGTAGACATGCAGTGTGTGCTGTATTCACAACAACAAGCTGTTTGTAAAGGTTGTTAAACAGCAACTAGTGTTAAATGGTTTTTAGAGGGCATCAATGGACACCATGAATAACTCATCAGAAATCAGTCACAGTTATCATAGGATGCTCAACAGGCTGGTGCTGTGCAGTCTGAGCACATAGACAAATAGAAGCACTTGGCAATTCAACAACATCGACCAAACAGTAAGACCTCTAATCTGCATGACATAAATGGACAATATCGCATCACATAAACACTACACTATGTAGGTAACCTATAACGACGTTATAACACAACATAAACAAAGTCTTGCACGTTATTGAATGCACACACCAACATGAATGATTCGAATGCACCTTGATATTGTAACACATTTATTGTACGATGATGACAATGTTACAATGTGACCGTGAGGCTCGTATACATGATCCCTGCCACGAGCGGGTGGCTGGCTGAGAAATCACGTTCCTACACTCACAGGTTCAGCAAGATGTCAAGACCAAAATGATAACGTTGTTTTCAGCTTTCTTTCCCCTTTCTAACATTGTATGACGGGAAAGAATCGAAAGCATACTGGGGGCGACAGGGGGATGACTCGTTCTAAACACAGGCTTGCAGTTTCTTTGTTGCATTTAAGCCCAAAGGGTCAGCAACAACTAGTAGCTACACTGTACCCGCTAACATTACATTATTTCAACAACACTACTCGGAGATCGAAGGATTTGAGATTATACGAAAACGAAACTGTCCTAGGGAAAACATTTGTTTTAAAGAATACTGGATTAACTAGATATTGATAGCTACTGCATGACACCCCGTTATAATATTCCCATCATCCTAGTATTTGGCTGATTCAATAGAAAATTATATTTGTAACATTGTAGCTAGCTAGCTACATGCAGTATACTGTATCCGAAGCCCTGTACAGAACAGAAGCCTAGCGCGTGCCCTACCCGAGTGTAATGTTAGCCAAGCCAAGCTAACCGCACAAACTACCACAAAAACACCTCGAATCTACCATCAGAGAGGTCTAAACTTGCATGTTTAGCCGAGAGCGAAGGATACTTGCTGGACGGATCTTTGAGTGGACGTATCGGGAGACTGGGACTCTTTCAAAAGCTGTAGAATTTGCTGAAGTCCTTGCTCGTCTGGTTTCCACTCGCACTCCATCTTGGTTTGCTGCAATGAGATGAGAGGGAGAATGCAAAACTGTCAACACACACTGTAAATTAACGTTGTCCACAGTGGAAGAGAAGCCCTTTGCTAAGCGGTGTGACTTTTACATATTGTTTCACCTACCCGATATATCGTTGGCTTTCTTCCTCAAATGCTACTGTGTGTAATTTATTGACATGGGCCTGTCAGCGCAGGGACATTCCGTTTTCGCAACAAGCTACTCATGTGGATTCATCGCGCATTTATGATCCAACTGTGCTATGAAGTCTACAAGGTCCTAGTGCTCCTCAAATTATTTCACTCTGACGGAGAATGGTGCAATTGCGGACAAAGCCGCAGCAGATAGGGGTGCTGAGGGTGCTGCAGCACCCCCTGATTTTTTAAAATAAAATTACAACAACAAAAATTATCACAAAAGTAGTGCACCAGGCCTTTACTAGTCTGTAGCATGGGCAAACATTTTTCTCAGCATCGCAGCTATGATTGTGGCCTGAAATTCAGGGCGTTCCTTCTACATTGACATTTTAGTCATTTAGCAGACACTCTTATCCAGAGCGACTTACAGTTAGTGAGTGCATACATTTTTCATACTGGCCCCCCGTGGGAATCGAACCCACAACCCTGGCGTTGCAAGCGCCATGCTCTACCAACTGAGCTACAGGGGACTTTTTATTGGTCCATTTTTAAGCTAGGACTGTACACAGGCAGGAGGCAGGGGCCCTCAAGTACAGTAGGTGGCGGTAACCGCGGTTAAACCCCACAGAAGAAGAAGAGACGGGGGTGACAACGATAGCAGCACAGATAGAACAAGGAGCAGTTAGGATTAGTTATAAATATATTTGACGGTAGCTAGCTAGTTAGGACACCAGTAGACAGTGTCCTTCGCCCCTGCCTGTTGGTCACTGCTTTCTCGCAGTTCTGTTAATGACGGCGACTGCAGGTGTTCGGCAGGCCTTAGCGAAGGACACTGCGTGCAAGCTAGCTAACTAGGAGGATTCCGATAGACAGCAGGCTGGAGGTGGGGGCGACACCAGTAGCTAGCTAGCTAGGACATCTTTAGATAGTGTCCTTCACCCCCAAAAAAGTCAGATAATGCTTTTATTTCCCTTTTGACCCACATTTTAATCGTATAGACAATCAGGGGAAATCCAGAATATCAAAAGTGTCACACAAGCATGAAGATGGTGTGCTCGAGGGGGGGGTGTTCATGCAGGAACCAATGGGATCAAATCAAATGTTATTTGTCACATGCTTCGTAAATAGCAGGTGTAGACTAACAGTGAAATGCTTACTTACATCAATGCAGAGAGAAAAATTGAAAAAGAATAACACAAGGAATAAATACACAATGAGTAACAATAACTTGGCTATATACATGGGGTACCAGTATTAAGTCGAAGCTCGCAGATGCAGGAATGCCTACATGCAGGAACGCCCCTAATTGCAGGTTGGAATCACACACCGGAGGATGCTGGTGGGGGGAGCTATAGGAGGATGGGCATGGAATTATTGGAACGTAGTCAAACGTGGTTTCCATGTGTTTGATGTGTTTGATACCGTTCCATTTATTCCACTTCAGCCATTACAATGAGCCCATCCTCCTATAGCTCCTCCCACCAGCCTCCTCTCTCACACACTATTGCTCAGGGCCCAGTTTCCTAAAAGCATCTTAAGGCTAAGTTCATCAATGGGGCTGGAACAGGAGTGAGAGTTCCGATCGAGGACTAATGCCGCGGGGAGAAAGACAGACAGGTGGGGAGCGTTTTGAGATGGAGTTACGCCGAGATGCCCTCGGGCCGCAAGCAAAGTTGGGAGAAGAGGAATACTGGTGCAGAGCTACATTTTAGTGGTAGGACGAAAGAGGAAGAAGAGATCGAAGAAAATTAGGAAAGCAGAGGTTGGATTTGAATTTGAGGAAGATGGCGATAAAAGTGGAGATGGGGTGTCGAAGAACATCGGTGTCAAGTTCAAACAGAGTGAGTCGTGAGGTGAAATGGAAGTGGATGAGGGCGAGTTAAATGAGGTGGAAGGTGCGGTGAAGAGCTCGGAGCCCAAGCATGACATCGATGGACATGATAAAGAAGAATCTGGTCCAGAAGGAGTGACCAGCTCTAGGAAGAGTCTTGGTGGTTCCAAACTTCTTCCATTTAAGAATGATGGAGGCAACTGTGTTCTTGGGGACCCTTCTCCCCATCCAACCTGACAGAGCTTGAGAGGATCTGCAGAGAAGAATGGAACTCCCCAAATACAGGTGTGCCAAGCTTGTAGTGTCAAATCAAATCAAATCAACAACAAAAAAGTGTCACGTGCGCCGAATACAACAGGTGTAGAACCTTACAGTGAAATGCTTACTTACAAGCCCTTAACCACCATACCCAAGAACACTCGAGGCTGTAATCGCTGCCAAAGGTGCTTCAACAAAGTACTGAGTAAAGGGTCTGAATACTTATGTAAATATGATATTTCCGTTTTTTATTTTTAATACATTTGCAAACATTTCTAAAAACGTGCTTTTGCTTTGTCATTATTGGGTATTGTGTGTAGATTGATGAGGGGGGAAAACAATGTAATCCGTTTTAGAATAAGGCTGTAACGTAACAAAATCTGGAAGAAGTGAAGGGGTCTGAATAGTTTCCGAATGCACTGTATATATATTTTTTGTTTGGTTCCCCTTTCCCATTTTGAATCACAAAGTGTAATGGATCTATACTATAGTTCAGTTGGTGGCGGTAATGCAACATATTGGATGCCAATCGCCGTTAAACCTCGCTGAAGAAGAAGAAGTTAATCAATGGTTCTAACTATGAACTTCTCATCCGCTACTGGTTGGACAAGTGTAGTGTTTGTACGCAAGATGGAAGAGAGTCGTGTCTCGTCAGAGATCGCATTTATTTTGGGATATTAATATTACCTTTTCATTGAACACAGGAGAAACATATTGTTTCAGTTGATAATAAAACATTTCTCGTTTAGTTACTTTTACCTCAACTTCTTTCTAACTTTCTAGCAAGTCAAGCTCAGCCAAAAACTAGGCTATACTTATTAGCCAATGTGTTTTATTGAACATACTATTAATAGAAAGATAGCTACTGTGATTGGTAAATGTGTTGCAAAAATCTGACCAATAAGAGGCCATATTGAAATATGTAAACGCCTTCATTTTTCAATGTGTGAAACCCATGAAGGCGATGGACCAAAACTACTCCAGGAGATGTGCTTCAAAGGTAGGATTTAACAAATGCTCAATTTAATCACTTGTTCTATTGTATACTGTTGGTGCTCCTAACATAAAGTTGAGAGCACCAGTTCTACCAATGAAAAACGATTCAACCATTGTTAAATTCTCTTTGATTCAACACTGCTCTCTGCTGGTCCGAAGTAGAGTACAATGAAAACGTGAATGTGAATCTATCGCGAGAATTCATTTCCAAGTAGGGCTCGTTGAAAAGAGCTGTAAATAAGTGTACTGACTGTGCAGTTTGCCAGATCTCACAGTAATGTTACTCCATTAGCCCGATAAGCAAACGTTTAGAGCGGTCGAATGTATACCATGATTAGGTAGCTAGATGTTGCAGAGCTCGCTGATGCAGAGCTACAGTTTAGTGGTAGAACGAAGTTTTGTTTCAGGGGCCGCTTAAACAGTCCGTGAAATTTGGACCAGTTTGACAAGCAACTGCTGATACTGACCGGACTGGAAGCATTTGTTTTGACCTCATCAGGCATCGTTCTCCACGACGGTCTAACGAAGGCTCCTCGTATAACGTAAAAGAAGATAAACATGAGTTTTCTATTGTGAGTATTCGTCTCCCGCGTATTATTTTGATTTGCTTGTTCAATGTGCCTGCCTTTTCAAGTGAACGCGTTACCATTTCCACCGTTGTTGGCTATGTTAACGTTAGCTAGTTAAGCTAACACATATAGCTAACTAGGTTAAGTTAGTTAGTTGGCTAACAACATGTAAACCCAGGCTAGCTAGCTGAGTGTCTGCAGTGAGTAACTAGCTAAGCTGTTGGTTGGTTAGGTAACTAGCGCTAGGTCTATAACGTTAGCTGAGCGCTGCCTTGTATAAAATACTAACTTACAATTTCTAGATAGCTAGTTAGTCTAGCTAGCCAACGTTAGCTATTATAAATATTATCTATTGCTAGCTAACTAGCTAGCTACCCAAATGTGCTATGACTCTCTGTGGTGTAGCTAAAGCATTAGCAATTTTGTGGCATTAATTTAACTACCAAGATGCAAGTAAATAGGCCTTAGTTATTAGCTGCCCATGTCTATCTAGCTTGTTAAAAAGATAAGTCGTTTTACGTTCTGAGTTTTTTGTCTCTTTTCCTGTTGACATAACGTTGTTAAACAAACACTGGAATTAAAATCTTAGCTAGCTAAGTTGTTAGCTCAATTGCTAGTTAGCTGACCGTATCAAAGAGAGCACTTTGACTGCTATATATTCAGAGGGTGTGAGGTCAGCTTTTGTTATTGTTGAAATCAGATTATATGCTATTTTCTATTCCATAACAATTTCCTTCAATCAAATAAATGAGTAGCCTACTGTATCACTCACTACTTCACTTCCTTATTTCCCTTTCTGAGACACACACACACACTTGATCCAACTCATTGTCTTTCCATTCTAATTTCTCCCACAGTGGCAATCGGTCGTCCAAGACCTTCAAGCCCAAGAAGAACATCCCAGAGGGATCTCACCAGTATGAGCTGTTGAAACATGCAGAGGCTACACTGGGCAGTGGGAACTTACGCATGGCTGTCATGCTGCCTGATGGGGAAGACTTGAACGAGTGGGTGGCTGTCAACAGTAAGGAACAAGTCTACTTCTCTATCCAATAAACACCACTAACATAGTAGGCCTAAAAAACAACTTTGACTGTTAAACAGAGCTCATCGTCCACTCCTGTGGGTGCTTTGTTTGCTGTCTCTGGTCTTCCACCAAGACCAATGACTCGTCCGGCGGATGTCTCGCATCCTCTGGCACACACAAACACATTCTCTCTTACACACACACAGACACACACACACACACACACACAGATGACCTCTGTCACTCAGTGGACCGACTGTTTAGGTTTCTGCTGTGAGATTTGCAAATAAAGAACCAGGCTACGCTAACATCATTAAGCCAGAGCTCAGTCTGTGAAAAAGTATTTCTGAGTTGTTGTTCCTCATATTTCAATTTAGAATGGGAGGATGGTTTGACAGGTGGAACTTTCAGAACATTGCTAATTTACTGACCTCAGTGTGTATTAGATTACATTATTTGTTTTCATGTGTGTTTGAGAGAGGAATGCATGGGCGTCTAGCTATTTGTGGACCCTGAGCAAGATTTAATTTGCAGTACACTGCGTATAGGGAGAGGTGACTGGAGGGGTGGAGGAATGTGAGAGTGCCTTTGTGCCCCTTATGTCAGTTAACACACTAATTAGATCGGAGATCACACACTAGCACTTTTATTTCCTTCAATATGAATGTTGTCTGTAGGATATAAAATGCTCTGAAGCTCAGCTAACATGTCTTTCATGATGCCACATGTCCTTGTTATTTTATTTATTTCCACAGCTGTAGATTTCTTCAACCAAATCAACATGCTCTATGGTACCATAACAGACTTCTGCACTGAAGAGAGCTGTCCTGTCATGTCTGCTGGGCCCAAGTAAGTGTGGGTGTGGTTGTGTAGGTACGTGCATGTGCTTGCTTGCCTTTTTTTTCATGTGTCATAATGATAATTAACATTCGTGAAACTTCTCTTCTGTAGATATGAGTATCATTGGGCAGATGGAACCAACATCAAAAAGCCGATAAAATGTTCAGCTCCCAAGTACATTGATTACCTAATGACCTGGGTGCAGGACCAGCTCGATGACGAGACACTCTTCCCATCTAAGATAGGTATGAGTTCATGTCTGTCATGTTTTGCCATAACCATGTCTTTCACATTGCACCATAACTTATCAGAAGATCTTTTATACCCCATCTCTGTTTAATATGTATAGTTTGTACCCTTGACTTTGCCCTCAAGGTGTCCCGTTCAAGCGGAACTTCATGTCGGTGGCTAAGACCATCCTGAAGCGCCTGTTCAGGGTCTACGCCCACATCTACCACCAGCACTTTGACTCTGTGATGCAGCTGCAGGAGGAGGCCCACCTCAACACCTCCTTCAAACACTTCATATTCTTCGTTCAGGTACTGGACTGGAGCCCACTATCAATGTAGCCTGGTTCCCAAGTCTATTATTTCAGTACTGGAACCCACCTTCATGAACGTCACAGGAATTACTAGGCCTCTCATTTCTTGGTAATTGCAGTGGTGGAAAAAGTACCCTATTGTCATACTTGAGTAAAAGTAAAGATACCTTAATAGAAAATAGTAAAAGTGAAAGTCAGCCAGTAAAATACTACTTCAGTAAAAGTATTTGGTTTTAAATAATACTTAAGTATCAACAGTAAATGTAATTGCTAAAATGTACTTAAGTATCCTCTGTAGCTCAATTGGTAGAGCATGGCGCTTGTAACGCCAGGGTAGTGGGTTCGATCCCCGGGACCACCCATACGTAAAAATGTATGCATGCATGACTGTAAGTCACTTTGGATAAAAGCGTCTGCTAAATGGCATATTTTATTATTATTATATCAAAAGTAAAAGTACAAGTATAAATCATTTCAAATTCCTTATATTAAGCAAAGCAGACGGCCACATTTTCAAGTTTATTTTTATGGATAGCCACGGGCACACCAACTCTCAGACATAATTTACAAACAAAGTATGTGTTTAGTGAGTCCGCCACATCAGAGGCAGTAGGGATGACCAGGGATGTTCTCTTGATAAATGTGTGAATTAGACAATTTTCCAAATGTAACGAGTACTTTTGGGTGTCAGGGAAAATGTATGGAGGAAAAAGTACATCATTTTCTTTAGGAATGTAGTGAAGTAAAAGTTGTCCAAAATATTAATAGTACAGTACAAATACCCCAAAAAACTACTTAAGTAGTACTTTAAAGCATTTTTACATAAATACTTTACGCCACTGGGTAATTGTATAGTGCTGGCAAGGTTACGTTAAAAGATAAAGATGGAAATACCTGGTTCCCAGTCTAGCATATCTGTTTTAGCTAGATATGATGTTGAATCAAACAAAGTTGGAACCAGGTTATCCTCAGAGTATGCGACAAAGAACTGGAGGCCATGACCCTTTGAGTAGGACTGAGACATAAAGATAATAACAATTGATTGGGTTTATATAACGCTTTTCCAGATGCTCAAAGTGCTTTGCAATGTAAAGGGAAACTCACCTTATCCACCACCAATCTGTAGCAATCGCCTGCTTTAACCCAAGTCTTCTCTTTTTGTATTTTTAAGGAGTTTAACTTGATTGACAGGAAAGAGCTGGTCCCACTACAGGAGTTGATTGAGAAGCTGACCACCAAGGACAGATAAACCCAGGCTGACTGATCCTTTAAAACTGTGATGGGCTACTATTATTTTTGCACAGATACCCCTTCTGCCCTATATGTATACAGCATATGCTAACTTTGGGGACATGTTCTCTAGAAAGCCAGGTAAGTACGGAAGAGTCTTGCACTGTTATGGGCACTATACTACTGCCTGAGCCGGTATGTGCTCTATAGTTGGATGTGCTCTATGGTTGCAATTTGGACGTATCCCTAAAACTGAAATCACTATGTATTGGCGTCCTCTGTTTGTATATTTATATGATTAACATTTGTCATCTGCTCATATTGAAATCTACCACTACAGATTGCACATTTAAACAGAGGGTATGTAGGAAAGTTCAAGGGACTACATAACTATTTGAGCATATTGGTCACATTGTGATTTGCCTCAAAACATATGGTCATTTTGTAAAAGTCTGTTTTCAACAATATAATACTGGGAATCCAGTAAATTGCCAAAGCTTTATTTGATGGGCCACATACAGTATACAAGTAAAATATTGTGTTTGAGGTCACAAGTTTCTCATGTTCTCCCCATAGAATGTTCTGGCTAATAAGCCACCGAGTGAAATATAACAGCACATTCAGTGCTATCTGTTTCAATAGTGTGATGATTCCCTATGCCTTTGTAAGGTCTGAGTAATGTATTGCTGTGCTGCAGACTGCTGAGGGATGGAATCCAAAATGAAAATGTTTACTATGCAAGAAGACATGCCACTCTTCAAAGTTTCAATGATTACTATTTTCCATTCATACAGATGGGAATAAATGCTTTTCTTTCTGTGTGTTATTCAGAGTTAGTGGTGTTACTTTAAAGTGGTAGATGTTGGGACTGAGACACGTTGCTATTGGATGACTTAAATATAGACCGACTACAGTATGCAGTAAGACATGAAAGCAATTGAATACGTTGTTTAAATGCCATTTTATCTTGCTATCTTTTCAGGAAGATTTGATATGAAGATGTAACTAACTTCTGTTCAGAAATCCACACTGTAAATAGCACATTTCTGGCCTTATTGTTGTATGATATCATATTTTGGTAGCCGGCATGGACTGGTAGTTGTAGGTCTAAATAATTTAGAATGTTATTAGGTCTCTTTTAGAGGTTGTTCCTTCTCCCCTTTTCACCATGTCATAGTCCCTTCTTCCTTATATCATTGCGTTATTTTATAACTTTAGAAAATTAACATGAATGTGATTGTGTTGATCAGAAGCTGGTAAAGCAACAAAGCCATCTGCCATGCTTCACTGAGAACATCGCAGCAGAATTTGATCCCCTGTCTATACACTTCCTTCAGAAAGTATTCATACACCTTGACTTATTCCACATTTTGTTGTTACATCCTGAATTCAAAATGGATTAAATTGTTGTTTTTCTCACCCATTTACACACAATACCCCATCATGACAAAGTGAAAACATGTTTTTAGAAATGTTTTCACATTTGTTGAAACTGAAATACAGAAATATCTCATTTACATAAGTATTCACACCCCAGAGGCAATACTTTGTAGAAGCACCTTTGGCAGCGATTACAGCTGTGAGTCTTTCTTTCTAGGTAAGTCTCTAAGAGCTTTCCATACCTGGATTGTGCAACATTTGCCCATAATTATTTTTGAAATTCTTCAAGCTCTGTCAAATTGGTTGTTAATCATTGCTAGACAACCACTTTCAGGTCTTGCCATAGATTTTCAAGTAGATTTAAGTCAAAACTGTAACTCTGCCACTTAGGAACTATCAATGTTGTCTTGGTAAGCAACACCAGTGTAGATTTGGCCTTGTATTTTAGGTTATTGTCCTGCTGAATTCATCTCCCAGTGTCTGGTCTAAAGCAGACTGAACCAGGTTTTCCTCTAGGATTTTGCCTGTGCTTAGCTCCATTCTGTTTCTTTTTTATTCTGAAAAACTCCCCAGTCTTTAACGATTACAAGCATACCCATAGCATGATGCAGCCACCACTATGCATGAAAATATAGAGAGTGGTACTCCGTAATGTGTTGTATTGGATTTGCCCCAAACATAACACTTTGTATTCAGGACAAAAAGTGAATTGCTTGCCAAATTTTTTGCAGTATTACTTTAGTGCCTTGTAATTAGGATGCATGTTTTGGAATATTTTTATTCTATATAGGCTTCCTTCTTTTCACTCTGTCAGTTAGGTTAGTATTGTGGAGTAACTACAATGTTGTTGCTCCATCCTCAGTGTTCTACTATCACAGCCATTAAACTCTTAACTGTTTTAAAGTCACCATTGGCCTCATGGTGAAATCCCTGAGTGGTTTCCTTCCTCTGCTGCAACTGAGTTAGGAAGAATGCCTGTATTTTGTAGTGACTGGGTGTATTGACACACCATCCAAAATGTAATTAATAACTTCACCATGCTCAAAGGGATATTCAATGTCTTTAAAAAAAAAAAAATATATATATATATATACCCATTATTATCTACCAAAAGGTGCCCTTCTTTGCAAGGCATTGGAAAACCTCCCTGGTCTTTGTGGTTGAATCTGTGTTTGAAACAAAATCTCAATTTAATCCATTTTAAATTCAGGCTGTAACACAACAAAATGTGGAAATAGTCAAGGGGCACTGTATATTCCCCTTACTGTAATATAGAGAATGTTTTGATGAATGAGTTGTAAATAATGAATTGGATGAGGGCGTTGAAAGTTACTGAACTGTAATATGCTGAATCCTGTTTATAAGGCAAATAAAGGTGTTTGACCAGTGCCTAGTTTGTCTCACTTTTGTGGAAAAGAAAGTAGACTCGGTATCATGTAGTTTGTGGTGATCAAATCATTCATATTCGTTGATAATATGCTGTATAGGTACATTGTAACCAGTGGTGAGACAAATGTATCTACACAAACCGTAAAATAGTAGGCGGACCTACAGTATCTCCCGCTCCCACACCGAGACGGAACGGGACACGCCTGGTGCCCAAATGGGTGACTTATGTCGCGCAGCTGAGAGTCGTGTGTTGGGACGAATGGATTTGGTTTAGTCAGTCGTCCTGATAAGCCCTTTCCGCCCTTCACAGTTTAACCTCGTCCCAGGCTCGAATTGCTGGCGTATAGAGCCTGGTAACAGTGTGGGACTGTTTGGAATTTAGGGGGTGTGGATTTACTGAGTGACATGCTAATCAATTCAAATTCTGCGCGAATCACACAGCTATGAGGTGTGGGTCTAAATCGAGGCGGCAGAGGTTCGACACTAGTTAACACATCCACAAATCATAAACCCTGCCTATTTCTAAAATCTATCTTCTTACAATATGATTTTAAACAGAATCCTAACCACAGTGCTAACCATAAATTAAGACCAAAAATGTGTAGCCAATTTTGACTGTGGCTAAAATGGCAAAAATCGCCAATCAAAATAAATGTTCTATCACATTAACCATATTATTTTGGGGAAGCCCAATTCATTCTGAGTTCAGACCAAAAGTTTATATGTGAAAATGGGTGGACTGGCATTTCGGGCAAATGCCAGATGGGCTGGTCCATTTTTTGCCTATTGGGCCTGTCAAGTTTTTGGGCCAAAATTATCATTATCTGGCTAATAATAGGGGCCTCAAGGAATAAAATGGACTTCCTCTGCTTGCACCAAAGACAGTACAGTATGGAGATAGGCTAAAATGTATTCTCTAATAGAAATCCCCGATCACACTTGTAGGCGATGTCATCGGATCGAATGGTGGTCTCGCGCCAACTGTGCATGTGCAGGCCTTCAAATCAAAGCCACTCCTTCGATATAAAGTTGTTTGTGACGAAATTGAAAACATGTCAGTTTGTCACTTTCATGAGGTTGGAGTAATAACATGTTCAACTACTTAAGACATTGGCTCGAATCTCGGTTGTCCCTTTAGAATTTGAGAAAATTAACAACTAGGGAAGAATCTTTCACTTCTCTCATTGACTTCTCAAACCCCGGCTTGGTCTGTTTGGGTTGTTTCACAAGCGTTCCCGGAAGTCTCGAAATGTTGTGTCTCTGGGTTTAGAAACTCTGTGCTTGTGTTTTGAAGTCCATAATGTAAGGGGGAAGTTCTAAGGGGTGAGCTAGAGGGTGATAGCCTGAGAGATCAGCCAATTAAAAGCAGCTCCTGCTATAGGGTGCGTTTGAGGGATGATGTCTTTCACAGCGCGCGTAGGGCTAGCTAGTTGGTGGCTGAAGGTGGAGGAAAAACGATGTCTAACAGACAGCTGTGGGATAAGGAGATGTATACTTGGATGGCGGAGGAGGAATGGAAGGAAAAAGAGAGGCAGAGGAGGTCTAAGAGAGAGAGGGAGGAAGAATGTGCGCTTGAGTTGGGGAAAAATGGCAGGAAAAAGGGAGAAGGTTTGGTAAAGAAGAATGGTAGGAAATGTAAGCAAAGTGAGTTGAAGACAGGAGGAGAAATGGAAGTGAATGAGGGTGAAGTGTCGGAGGTGGTAGGTGTGGTGAAGTACTCGGAGCCAGAGGATTGCACAGAGGGTCAGGATAAAGATGAGTCCATGACAGTAGGAGTGAAGTTTTTGGAAAAAGTGGACCCTTGCCTTTTGGCTGATCCATTTGTGGTTTCAAGATGGGTGAAAAAAGCATTGGGTATAGTGGAATCTGTGAGGGTAACCAGAAGTGGTCTAGTGATAATTGTTTGTTTCTGTTGGGCAGAGGGAGAAGGCGCTCAGAGTTAAACAAATGGGGGAAAGAATTGTGAATTGTTTCGCTCTCAAGAAAAGGGTGCCATTGAAGGAGTGATTACTGGGGTAGCAGTAAATGTAAAAGTGGACCAACTGAAGGGGAAGATTCCCGGTGTTTGTGATGCTCGTCGTTTGGTGCGACGCGAACAGTCTGTTCTTTTGAGTTTTGAAGTTGAGTCTTTGCCTGACAAAGTGAAGTTAGGATATATAAGTTATCCTGTACGAGCTTATGTGCCGAATACATTACGATGTTACAGGTGTCAAACTTATGGGCATGTGGCAGCAGTATGTAGGAGGGAGGTTCCAAGCTGTGAGAAGTGTGCAGAAGGGCATGAAACAAAGGAATGTGTAGCATTGGGGAAAGTAGTGGTATGTGCTAATTGTAGGGGTGGCCATGGGGCTGGGGATCAGAAATGTCCTGTGCGAGAGATGCAGGTTGAGGTTTCCAGGGTAAGAGTAGTGAAGAAGTTGTCATATGCTGAGGCAGTGAAGAAAGTAGAGGAAGAGGGGTCAAGGGAGGGAGTGGTGAGAGTAGTAGAGATGTACCAATGCAGAGGGATAGGACAACAAGTGATATATGTTTCAGTAAGATTGGATTTTTAGCGTTTATAGCAATGGTTATTAATTGTACTGCAGGGATGGAACATAAATCTAAGAAAATTGAGGCAGCTGCAGAGAGGTATTTGGGTGTGCGAGACTTGACATCAGAAGAGTTACAGGGAGTGTTAAGTGGTGATGTCCCATCATTTCAGGTTGAGGGCATGAGGTAGGAATGAATATATTTAAATAGTGGGGAAGGGTGGTGTTAATTATTAATAATAATTTTGAATTTGTGAGTGTAGTGTTAGATGGCAGGGTATTTCTTTATTTTATTTTTCAAGCAAAATATAAGGGAGTTGTACTCCAGTCTAGTAGGTGGCGGTAATGCAACACATTAGATGCCAACTGCCGTTAAACATCATTGAAGAAGAAGAAGAAGAAGAAGAAGAAGAAGAAGAAGAAGAAGAAGAAGGGTGCGTTCGAGCGAATCACTTGTCAAGTCGGTGACAATCGTCACCGCCTTTCAAAGTGTGTTGCATTATGGGGGAAAACATTGTCTGACGTGAGCCTACGTGTCGGATACAAAATGTGTATTTATTCCTCGTGTCACTTTCTATTTCTTATTATTATTTTTTTTATTATCTTTATCTTTCTGCATTGTTGGAAAAGGACCCGTAAGTAAGCATTTCACTGTTAGTCTACACCTGTTCTTTACGAAGCATGTGACGAATAACCTATGATTTGAGATCTTTGCGCTGCAAGCCGACAACACGGGCACAGTGTCCTTCGCTCCCGCTTGCTGCAGTAAGGAGAGGGAAGTTGGTATATAGTATAGCCAATATCAAGCATAGGGATTTTCACCGAAAATGTACAATTATGGCATTAACGTCTAACGTTACATTTTTATTTATTTAAAAAAAACCTAACAATTACTCAGATAAAAACATAATTATTCTGAACACTCCCAAGTCCCAACTTCGGCAGACAAGTTTAAAATCTCGCTGAAGTTCCCACGGGGGCCCAGTATGAAAAATCTATGCACTCACTGTAAGTCGCTCTGGATAAGACCGTCTGCTAAATGACTAAAATGTAAATGTAAGTTTGTTGCCACATACGT